CGATTGGGACAGAATTACTTTTATTTCTAAAAATATGGCATTATTTTTAATTCTAATAAAACATACATGAATCATTGTGCAAATAAAGAGAAAAAACAATACTTAAACGATTTATCTGATGATTATAAATTAATTTAAACCTCTCGCGTTACTTGCGTCCAGGAAATAGTTAAAATTAAACTTTGGCATTACTAATCTTGTATTTCCGAAAATGTGACATTCATTTTTTAATCAAATTTAACATGCATGAATCATTGTGCAAATATGTCAGTGGAGGTGATTGATAACCGAGGCGCCGAAGATATCGATGATAAGATTGATGATGTCAGTTATCATGTGGAGGCGTGCGGCGGCGCCACCGTCACTGATGTCATGATGATAAACTTGACACTGCCGCTTTTTAAAGGACGCACTGCGATATGCACTTGTGTTTATATATTTAAAAAAGGAAAAATGTTCCCATTTTGGCTGTATTTTTTTTTTGTTACCTCAGAATTCCGTTATTTATAAAACGAATTGGAAATTTCTTTTTTATCAGAAAGTATGTACTCACAGACTGGTCCCATAGAAATTACATCAAAATCTGTCCAGTACTTTAGTTTTTAAGTCAAAATATCTGATTTTAACACTACAAGAAAATCTTTATCTAGAATAAAATCTTAAATTATTAAAATTTTTTATTGTACACTCTTTATTTATACTATTACAGTGGCAAATAAGCATACGACCAGTCTGATGCTAAACGGTTACCATAGCATACGGACACTTGCAAGTCCACCAACACTAACAGCATAACATGCTTTTTACCCTGACCTGACATCTGACCTGACCATGACATGATCAGGATTTAATAACCTAGAGAATTTTTTTTTATTAGTATGGCAAACAAGCTAACGGCCCACCTGATGGAAAGTACCTTCGCCTACAGACATGAGCAGTACCATGAACATAACAGAGTATACTGTTTCGCCCATGATATCCCCCATGCGTTGCCATTTTTGAGGACTCGGGTGTTATTCCTCTGTACCCTGTAAATTCACGCCATATCCCACCCTCCAAACCGAAACACAGCCATGCATACACAACTACTTCACGGTAGAAACACGAATGGGACAGAGGTACTCAAGCAATCGACTTTTGTACAAAGTCTCCCTCTGGTAATCTATTTTAATACCTCTATCATTATGTTCCTTTAGTCGCCTCACGACACCCACAGAATGGGGGGGAAGAAATTGTTAGTAATGAGTTCTAACTGACCCATTGCCAGCAATATACCCTATCAGGTCGACCTCCACGTAGTTCCCCTGGAAACCATCGTGGTTAATTCTAGTGGAATTTGTCACAATGGGCAAACTGACCTGCTTTCATCGTCAATAGCGCAGGTGGAGCTACCACTCTATTGTCACGCATTAAAAGAAAAAACAAAAAAGGATAGGCTAATTCTATACCGGGATCACATACTCGACCACAGTAATATAAAAAAGAAACTGTAAAATGGACAGACGGCTAAGTGTGAACACAGCCTAACATACTTCCGACAAATGCACTCGGATCCAGACTTTGTACTCTGACGCGTACAGGTAAACCATATATCCATATAAAGTGACGTATAAAACTTACTTGCATATTACTAATAGAGGAAAACGTGTATAAATACATTTATTAGTTCATTTTAATTGACGCTCGACTATTTTATGTGCCTTGAATTTTATTATATTTGAATTATATATGATGATGAAAAAATTTAATTATGAAAAATTATTTATTAATAAATATTTATTAATTTATTAATTTTATTAATGGTGTCTTAATAATATAAACAACCCATATCCATATATTACGACTAGCTTTTGCCCGCGATTTCGTACGCGTGGATTTTAGAAATTTTTACCTCCTTAGGGGATGAATTTTTAAAATCCCTTGCTTATTGTTCACCTTGGCGTGAATTTACTGGGTACAGAGGAATAACACCTGAGTCTTCAGGAATGGCAACGCATGGGGGGGGATCATGGGCGAAACAGTATACTCTGTTATGTTCATGGTACTGCTCATGTCTACAGGCGACTGTTACCACTTTCCATCAGGTGGGCCGTCAGCTTGTTTGCCATTCTAAGTTGTATAAAAAAATAACCTATGCTATATGAAGAACCTGTCTGCAAAATTTCAAGATTCTAGATTCAGCGGTTTCAGCTGTGCGTTGGCATATGGGTCAGTCACTTTTTGTCCCGATAGAAAAAAATAAATCTGGTAAGTGAGGATAAAGGGCATTATGTTTACCGGCTCAACTAGGCCTCATACACGAGTATAATATAATATAGAGGGGGAAGGGATTGTTAGTAATGGAGACTGAGAATCCCATTGCTAGCAATATACCCAACCAGGTCGACCTCCTCGCGGTTCCCCCTGGAAACTATCATGGTTAATTTCTGATTAAATCATCGTGATGGGTTAATTGGCCTGTTTTCATTCTCATCTATCACCCTTCACTGGTACTCCGCCAGCGTATCTCGTTAGCGCAGGCGGGGTTACCATTCCATTTTCACCCATCAAAAAAAATATAGAGTTAAAAAATCGGCCAAGTGCGAGTCGGAGTTGGGCACCGAAGGTTCCGTACAAATTATAATTGAAAATAATTTACAATTTTTTGTGATACAACTACAAATTTACTTATTCTATACGACATTGCTTCTTGCCAAATTTCATGATTCAAGGTCAATAAGAAGGTACCCCATAGATTTTTGATTACCCCATAAATGACCGTATCTTTTGATTGCTTTGTCTTAGCAGTTTAATTTTATCACAGCTTCAAGATATGGCAGACTTTAGTATTTGGTATTAATTTCAACTTGTTACCTCTACGTGTTCCTGAAAAAAGGATCCTGACAGACGGACAGACTGAGAATATAGTAATTGCATATGAATTTATTTATTTATTTATTCATTAATACATGACATATATGTGTACATGACGGACTTAATGCTAAAAGTATTCTCTCCCAGTCAACCATAGGGACGTGTCAGAATACTCGAATGCGGTACTAGTAATTATTGATATACATACATACTAAAATTACATATATAAACGAATAAATATATATAATTAACAAATATACTGTATTATACACAAAATTGAGAATAATATAAAGCACTTACTGCTCGGATAAAGTAAAAAAGTAAGCATGAACGTACTTTTTAAGATAGTTTAGTCGGTAGTCTCTTAATGGTATCAGGAAGCGCGTTCCAGAGCCGTGAAGAATGTAGGGGAAAAGAATTTGAAGCAAAACGGGAGTTACATATTCCTTTTGCAATACGGAACCCTAAAAATATTCAAATCGGAAAATTGAATAATTAGATTGGATTCAATAATTATTAATAGGGCAATAATTATTAATAATAGCTATAATTTAAAGTAATTAAATTTTATGTTATTTGTGTGTTATATGTTTATAATGTATGTTTAAATTAAAAATGTATATTTTATAGCATATACACAATTATAGGGACCATTATGGTTTTTAAAATACCATAAACCATTGCCAGAGGGAGACTTTGTACAAAAGTCGATTGCTTGGGTACCTCTGTCCCATTCGTGTTTCAACCGTGAAGCAGTTGTGTTTGCATGGCTGTGTTTCAGTTTGAAGGGTGAGATATGACGTGAATTTACTGGGTACAGAGGAATAACACTCGAGTCCTCAGGAATGGCAACGCATGGCGGGTATCATGGGCGAAACAGTATACTCTGTTATGTCCATGCTACTGCTCATGTCTATAGGCGACGATTACCACTTTCCATCAGGTGGGCCGTCGGCTTGTTTGCCATTCTAAGTTGTAACGATACCATAGTAACAATTATAAAGCAACTAGTAAGTGAGAAGGAAAAATCATGGGAATGGAGAGCTAAGACGAAAGGATTTTATAAGAATTTCCTCACTGATAAAAAGGAATTACTCAGAAATATCTACTACCTATTTTTGTTGCAAATTAACAAAAAAAAAAAAAACAACACTTGTATTTTTATTATCTGTTTAATTATTATTTGCTTATTGTAATCACATTGAGTTAATGACTGATTAAATAAAGGTTATTAAAAAAGAAGCGATTTATTAAAAAGACATTAAACGATCACAGACACAGAAGAACAAAGATGGCTGCCACAACTTTTAATACGCATGCGTACTATTGAACAAATAGGGGAATGAGCTCCGGTTTGAATGTATTTTACAATGAACTGTCATTGGTTTCAGGGGTGTTTATATATAAATAGTCTGTAGTTATTGGTGCATTTTTATCCTGAAGGGCTGATTTTTTCGAATACCTATTTAAATATGCTTATTACATAAGGTACATTTTCTTTTATCTGCCGTTCTAATTTATTATCATTATAATCTGTAATAGACAGAATAAACACTTACTTATAAGATATATTATGCATTGATGTTTAAATAAACAGAAAAAAAATGCATAGGTATGGAAGTTTTGTACAGGTTTTGATTCGCTAAATACATAGACTTCAATCACAATAACATATATATATATATATATATATATATATATATATATATATATATATATATATATATATATATGCGGAGTAAAAATTATTATTACTGATATTATTACTTATATGAAAAAAAAATACATTGGAATCGATACAAACTGATAAACGTACATATACTGTTCTAATAAAAAATAATTTAATATTATATTGATAAAAAGAGAGCCAAGTTCAATAAAATAAACTTTTTTTTATGAAATCCTAACCTTTTTTTTGTCGAGCAAATGCTCATGCCGATCCACATACCTCGAGGGAGATATATGGGTACTGCCGGATTCTTATCAGCTAAAACCCCCCCGTATTCCACATCCGCTTGATGTCGAAGCCGCGAGGAACCCGCAAATATGAAATCCTAACCTAACCTAACATTGTAATTAATAAATACTGTTATTTGAAGAATTTAATTTTAACATGCTTCTTTGTGATCTCTCATTTTTCTTTCTAGGTGTAAGATGAGTCTACGACGGTGGTAGAGGCCAGGAGGGCGGCCGGATGCGGCCCGCGCGCGCCCGTCCGCCCGCCGCCTCCGTCACTTAGCCGCGCCCGCGCACACGCCGCGCTGCTACTATGCGCATGGCAATCGCCCTGCCCACTCTGCTCGCGGTAAGACTTGGCTTTACATACTACCGAATAAATATCCAAGAACAATCGATTCCATAAATTGTATAGAAATACGTTGGTGCGCTGTCCGCCCGCTTCTTATTAACTGCTTTAGTATCTCGAACGAAACGCTCTCGCGCATCAAATGTGTTCCGATTTTCGTTATCCCGGGTACCTCTCGGTACTTATAAATGTTATGTTTATATTTTTATCTGAAGCGATACCTTCTCGCTCGTTTGTATTTCATAGAGATTAGTGTATATTTATTATATGCTTGTTCGAATTTAGTGCGTACGCCAGTGCGCCAGTTGACCTCATTTCACAGAAAAAGCCTCGCGTTAAGTTGTTAATAATGGTTAGCTGATTAAAATTATTTAATTCCACTACTATTTGTATGCATGTAAATGCTAACATTTTTGGATTGGAGGAAAGGGATTGTTAGTAATGGACTCACAGGACTAACAGCCTCATTGTTAACGTACACCATCAAGTTAGAAGTGCCGATTCTTTTCACTAACTATCCCTTCCTCCAGGATAAATGTGATTAGGGTATTTAAAAGGTTAAGAATTAAAAAACCAATAGCTGGACTTTTTGATGGGTGAAAATGGTATGGTAACCCCGCCTGCGCTAACGGAATACGCTGGCGAGGCACCAGTGAAGGGTGATAGATGAGAATGAAAACAGGCCAGTTAGCCCATCATGATGAATTCATCAGGAATTAACCATGATAGTTTTCAGGGGGAACCGCGAGGAGGTCGACCTGGTTGGCTATATTGCTAGCAATGGGATTCTCAGTCTCCGTTACTAACAATCCCTTTCTCCCCAATAGCTGGACTGCAACTATATATCTTGTTGTGATTTTTATTCTAGTAATCCAACTACGAAAGGCCCACACCTCCGCTGACTATGCGCATAGCTTTAACCGTGCCATCATTGATCGCAGTAAAACTTGGCCTTATGCACTACCTTGCTTTATGTCTAGTAAACATTTAAAATACAATCCAAAACGAGAATAATCCCCCCACCCCCCCACCCCCTCAAGGGTTATGTTCAGCAATGAACAGGTAAGCGCTGATATGATGATTATAACGATGATTTAATGAGATTGGAACTGCCAAAATACCTAATTTTGACATCGATACATGGGAGCGAAAAGGATCCTTCGTACTTTCCAATTAAAATATGATCATTTTGTTTCCAATATAAAGTGATGAATGTCTCAAATTGATGATTGGTGATAACTGGCAATATGTTATCAAAGTGTTACATCTAATCGAACATCTTTATGCGATCGAGGCAAGCTCCTTACGGCAGTATGCTACGAAGCGCGCGCTCTAGTAGTCGTCTAAAAAAATTCAGCGCGCTCTCTATGGTCTGCGTCTAGCGCGCCCGTCAAAATACGCGCCCTCTTTCAAAATTTAAAAATGGAATTAGATGTCGATTAAAAAATAGTGATGACCTATTTTAATTACTAATACGAAATAACATTCTATTTCACTGTGTTTAAATATGACAAAGTGGTCATGTTCTTTTTTTAAAAATTAAACAAAAGTGATTGGTATATAAACATTTTCAAATGAACGGTAGTGGTGACCTCAAATTTTATGTATGATTTATTCAAATCCTTGGACAAATTTATTTTTGCTCATGGCAATTAACATGGTGAGTTTTTATTATAATATTTTAATGTTTTTCTCGTAATCATTTGACAACGTGACGCCTCAGTTTTAAATAACTAATTAACGACTTAATTATATTAAATGTAAATTTGATTACACCATCCATTAAGAGTTAGACATAATACTTATTTTAATTTGTTTCCTGTATAATTTAAAAAAAAAAAAAAAACTGAAATGTTATATTCAAATATAATATTCAGTAGAATTTTTATTTTAAATACTTATCATAACTGATTTAGTAATTATTATTAATTCATTAATTTAAAATCATTTATGTAAATTATTTAAATTATAACAATATAATAATTGGAACTAGTTATTCGTTAAAAATGTCATCCCAGCTAATACTGCTCTTTTTCACATCACTAGCTCACTACTACACTACTCTACTACACTAGCTCTAACTTTTGCTACCTGAACGTACCCTTCTCATATTTATTTATACTTCTTAGAATAGCAAATGAGCTAACGGCTCGCCAAATAGAAAGTGGTAACCATGTCATAAGTACACCGGCATAATGATAAACACACTTTCATTGCTACTCCTGAAGTCTAAAATGATGCCTCTTAAATTAAAAAATCGAAAAGCCAGCATTCTAATCAAAACATAATAAATCACATTTAATTCTCAATAATAACAATAAGTAAAGATTGTGGTACCTTAGTCGCATAAAAACTTGTATGTATTAATTTTTCATTCCAATTAGTATTTTTTTTTTTTACATTTAGTACACATCATAGACAAACTTAGCATGTTTTTTTATCGTTATAAACGATTGTTTAGAAGCTAAATAATTTTCTATTAGTTAATACATAATTTATTATTGTTGACATATTTATTTTATGTTTTTTTTTTATCTTATTTTTGACTAATTTAATTAAAAAGGTAATCTTTTAAAATTATCTAATTACATAAAGTCTTCAGCCAGTGTTTATCATCCAATATATAATAATAAAAAAACACTTATTTTTCTTAATTAATATTCTTAAATATAATTATTAATAATAGGTACCTAATTGTTAATTTACTAAGAGTTTCGAAAAAAAAAACTATATTTTTTAATATCATCACAAACCGCAATACTGAGGCTAATGCATTTTTAATATTTCAATAGCTTATAGCAATAAGTATCTAGGTGCCAGTATATATATCTAGGTGCTAGTAAACGTCAAAATTAAATATTTTCCAACTATTTCCATTGTAACGTACACACGGAAATGAAAACTAAAATATTTCTAGCTGTTGCCCACGACTTCTTCCGCGTTTCCGTCGTTTTTCGTAAAATAAGTAGCCTATGTCCCTCCTCACGGTTCAGTGGTTTTGATGTAACAGACACATTTCCCTTCACAGCTCTGCTCCTATTGATCGTAGCGTGATGAAAAGTATACTATAACCTGCCCAGGAGTATGAAGAATAATTGTACCAAGTTTCGTTAAAATCCGTCGAGTAGTTTTTGTTTCTATAACGAACAATTAAAATCATCATCATATCAGCCTTTATCTAACCAATCAGTACCATTTATTATGGCAGTCTATGGGGGAGGTCTGTATACAGCCTCCCCCATAGACAGCCATAAGAAACGGTACTGAACCGCTTATATCCACTGTAATGCATTTATATTTGTGACTGCCACTAGGGGAGTCGTCACTCAAGAACCTTTCCCTATCGGTTGCCAGTTCTTCGAACTATGTTACCAGGTCAATACCATTTGAATATTCCCTTTCTTTATCTCTAAATAAATCTATTTATTAAAAAAAAAAGAAATTAAAACGGTTTTTGTCATTAATTTTTTTTAATGGGTGATAATGGAATGGTAACCCGCTTACGCTATCAGGATACGCTGGCGGGGCACCAGTGAAGGATGATAGGTGAGGATGAAGCAGATCAGTTAGCATAGGCTAACTAGCATAGGCGTCACGATAGCGTGACGAATTCAACAAGAATTGTTCACGATGGTTTCCAGGGGGAACCACGTGGAGGTTGACCTAATAGGGCATATTGCTAGCAATGGGGCTGTCAAACTCCATTGCTAACAATCCCTTTCCCCCCAATTAAATATTAATTATATATCTAAATTAAATATCTAAAAGCAAAACATTAAATAAACACTATATTTACATGAAATAATGTAATGCAAGCTATTATCATAAAAAGTTATGGTTAGATTGAGCCGTACGATTGGTTCCATTTTGTAATTTATTTATTGATAATATAAAATCGGTTATCATTTAAATAGATTTATTTTATAGCTATTTGAATATGTGTTAAGTTGAAAATGGAATATTTTCACATCACTATAAAGTTTTTAATAAAGCCGAATGTTCACTGGTGGAATAAATGATAAAGTAGTGTTGTCTATGGTTGTGACTATGTTTTTTAACGGAAAAAATGGCGGGAACGGTGAACGTTTGGTTTAAATTGAATAGCTGTATGAAGGATGAATGAAAAACCAGGTCAGTTAGCCCATCGTGACGCATTCAGTGATAAATTAGTCACTATGGTTCTTAGTTGGAACCAATACATACAGGTTAGGAAAGACAGAGGATAGGGGGTTGAAAAATTTAGATGTTTACACATTATGAGAAACACTAAATGAAAGTTTTAAAAACACTGTCTTAATGTAAAAAATAAATACAAATTATTTAAGCATTGTATGCCGTCCATTAATTCGGCGGGCGAAAATTTAGATGTTTACATATTATGGAAATCGCTAAATTGAAAAGTTTGAAAAACACTGTCTTAATTTTTTTTTTATACCACTGAGGTGGCAAACAATCATACGGCCCACCTGATGGTAAACGGTTACCGTAGCCTATGAACGCCTGCAATACCAGAGGTATTACGCGCGCGTTGCCGACCCTGAAGAAACCTCTTTACCCCCCTTTTGAATAACTGTATTTCTGTAGTCTCTTGGGAAAACCTCAGCAGGGAGCTCATTCCATAACCTGAGTGTTCGTGGGAGAAAACATCTCTGAAACCGCGTTGTACGCGACCATTGAGGCTGTAGGGTATGAGGGTGAACTCCCTGTCGATGGCGAGCCGTACGATGATAGAAAGTGGAATTAAAAAAAAATTACAAATTATTTAAGTACTATTTGTTTTTTCCGTCCATTAAATATCCCTATAACTAGAACATTTAGCTTACCGCGCTGCAGAACAAACCTAGGAGTACATTAACCTCTGGCCAGGATTAGTGCGTCATACAATGAAGTTAATGCCAAATTGCCTGAAATTGATATAGTGTATGATAATTCGAATTCCTACAGGAATAAATTGCTAAGGCACTTTGTACAATAACCTAATAAAAATTAACACTAATTAT